ACACACAGATTACATTTTTAATAATTAATAATAACAGATGAATGAAATCAAAACGGTTAAAACAAGTATCTTCATATTCGCCAGCTAACTCCCTTTCCAAAAAAGATACTGTAGGTACTAACTTTAATCAAAGAGTAATATCATAAACAGCATGAGATATATGATTGAAAAGAAGATCAATTACTTTTTAATGCATATTTAGGAACACACTCTGATAATCGATCCTAGCCTTGATATATGCTAGTGATAATATATTCATAACATAATTCACCGTACATCATTAAACTCTCATATGAATGCCACACATTGCACTGATAATGTAGCGTTTTAATTGCATGCACTGTGTCCTTACGACTACTAAAGCTACGACTGCAGTGATGAATCAATTGCTATTAAAACCTTTGTTGATTTGCTTGGTGATGTTCCTCTATTGCAAGACAGGCTGGGCGGCACAATCAGTTGAAAGGGTAGATATCCCTCACTCGATTTTGCGAGTCACATAACTCCTTGATGTTGGCTTGATAAGCAGTGTAGTCTATCCATTTCGCAAAGATTGGAAAACATATAAGTCATATTCAGAAGAGGAAGAGGGGGAGGGAGAGACGAAATTACTCGTTCATTCTTGGATTGAAGTTAACAGAGCGTGGTGATGTAACCATTACTTTTGGGCAGCTATTATTATCAAAGCATTTCTCTATATGGTATCTTTATCATTATAGGCTTTACTATATAGATGTTTGTGAGCGGCTATTTGTTTGTCTATGTATATGTGAATTTGTGTTGTCTTCCCAACGCAATGTTTATGATCATTAGAATCAAAGGTTGTAGTTTATTAAGTTGTTCCTTTTTAATCGTATAATAGGGCAGTCGAGTACCAAGGAAGTCCCATGCGAAGGTTTTGTTACTTTTAAAGATATTCTTCCCTTCTGTTTGTGAAACTTCGCTTTTGTTTCAGTGATTTTGATTTCAGTTTGAATCTCGACGCTTCCGTTTACAGATTACATTCCAGGAGGGGATGCGTCAGGCATTTTATCAATTCCCTGGATTTTGACGTACAATTACGCAATAGCCTTTGCCTTCCATCGGTCTGTAGAACCGGGTAAATGGTGAACGTTGCTCAGAAAGGGAACCTGGACATAAAAAAGAAAGAAAGAATGAATGAATGAATGAATAATAACCTCAACACGCTCGGCTCCAATACAGTCTTGCAAACTTTTGTATTATTCCCCCAAAGAGCATAAGATATTTTGCCTGTCTCCTGCGAGAAAGGCCGCGGGACACAATGTCAGGGACGGACATTTCTGAAGCATAAATGTGAAAGACTTAGGGTCGGCAGCAGCAGTGTGGCTATATGGAGGGCACAGAAAGAGAGGCCGGAGCTTTATGCACAGAGGAGACAAGAGAGCAACGCAGAGTGATTAGATATTATAATCTGCTTATTGGCTTCTGGGAAGCGGAAAATCGCTGTAAAGATATGTATTCAGCATATATCTATCTTTGTATCTGTATATCTGTTTGTATGTCTATCTATTTATGAACACAAAGAGATAGATAGCAAATTGAGAATGAGTGAGTGAGTGAGTGAGAGAGAGAGAGAGAAAGAGAGAGAGAGAGAGAGAGAGAGAGAGAGAGAGAGAGAGAGAGAGAGAGAGAGAGAGAGAGAGAGAGAGAGAGAGCGAGAGAGCGTGAGAGAGAGAAAGAGAGAGAGAGAAAGAAAGAAAGAGACAGAAAAAGAGAGAAACTCACACATCTTCTCTTGCGCTTATGGAAAATACGCGCGTTGAACAAAACTTCATTCAATCAGGATGTAAAAGCTTCCATCTTCCGCACACCTGTACCTCGAAATACAATAAGAAAACGCGTTCTATTTCAACTAAGGAAACATGTGAAGGAATTACGGGTTACGTTATTTAGGAATTTGCAGGATATATGTCTTCACATGCCTGCTTCCTTTATGTATACTGGGTACATGCTATAAAACACAGTAAAAAGACAAATACATTTCTTCCGTGATTTTTTTTTTTTTTTTTGTATTTCAGACACTAAGCGGTTTTGAAATGTCATTTTTCTACTTAATTGTCAGTTACAGTTATTTTCGTTTCATTTGCACGTTTTCAAAGGTTGATCAGAACCCAATTCCGAGTTGAGATTATAGTCTCTTCTTTACCGGGTAGAAAGTTTGGGTGATAATTCGCTTAGCTGCCCCCATTATACAAGGAAAATATTGTTAGATATATGAAAATTGGATAACTTGCATGGCCTCTTTCGTTTAAGAAATTCTTGTTAGTAGTCTATTGTCCAGAAAGAAAATTATGCTATAAGAGTTATAATGCTTCACTGTATTCAGTTACCGTGAAAGCCATTTAATCTGCCTTTTGCGAATACTATCTTTTCTTGTAAGAATTGCAACCAGTATCACTAACGGTGTGTGTACCCCATGAATCTGAATAGGCTTCAGGTTCGCTTCCGTCTAGCTCGCCAGGTTCATCATCCATGCTGAGCGAGTTCAAATTACTTTCAGATAAAAAATCAAATTGTCTGCATCATTAGGTAGACATACTGGGAACTCCGAGGGTTGGAATGAGCACGCACACGCACACACACACACACACACACACACACACACACACACACACACACACACACACACACACACACACACACACACACACACACACTGGCCGGACAACTGAAGTAAAACAAGCCAAGAAACATGTTGATTTTACTTTGCGTCACACAAGCTTCAAATAATGCTCATTCACTGATTTATGTGGTAAGTAATTATTATGGAGCTGAAAGACTATTCCGCCATCTTTACTACAATAGTGAACTGTACTGTAATAGCGAAGAGCAACACTACAATGTAATCTTTCAATGGAGCTGGTAGTTCGTTTCCTGTGAAGCAGTATTTCTTGGAAACGCACGTTATCCGTAGCTTTTGATTTGTTTTGCCTTTGGAAACTGTTACTGGAAAGATCGAAATGATCTATTATGTAAGCATGCTCTTTTATATGATATTGATTACAGATGACCTCCGATGATTGCGACCGCCCTGATCGGGGCAAGGGATCTTTGATTACCTATTGGCAACAGCAATTCGTTATCGGCAGGTCAGTTCGGAGAAGGATTATATCAGGTGCTCATATTTTACTTCATATGAGTGGTTTTGATGGCTATACAGATGTCCTTGTTGATTTTGGTGTGTAATTGTTCTGGGCCAAAATTAGGTGTCAGCTTGCTTTTCAGGTACTTGCGAGTTGATAGTTGATGAATTCTTAAACATTTACAACATATTCATCGCCAGCTACTGGTAAATAACATATCTAATATAAAGCACTCGACAGTGACGGTGCCAAGCGAATCATTAAATATATTCTGGCATGGTGGAGCCTAGACTGGTTCCTTATATGTCAATGAATCTACAGGGAGGTATACAAGAGGTCTACAATTTGTAAAGGCAGATTTCACGTTCGCTTCAAGATATTTCTGTATAATAGCCGCTGAAATCGCGTCTACATGTCTAAATTTCTTGTTATCCGAAACACCAAAATTGAGGATGTAGGATTTGTTAACCTTTAGGAGTTGCCTTAGTACTCCTCGCGCCTTCTGCTCCTGTCTCCCTGGACGAAAAGTCAGAGAAAGATTGATATTCCTGAACAGTCATGGATCTAATCCTGAACGTGCTTCAAACACTAAAGGTTACCCCGGCCTTATGTATACTTCAAAGAGAAACTCTGTACCCTAATAAACAGTGTAAACAACTCGATATTTCCAGAGGCTTAGTCAAAGAAATCCTTCCACGACCAAGGATTGAACACACCTGCTCGTACAGATCCTTTACTCGACAGCATGTAGGTGGCAGCACCGCGCTCTGTCGTTATGTCCTTTAGACTGACAAGTAAAGTGAAAGTCAATTTCAGCATGCAATGAAATTGCCTTTTCTGGAAACTGACATCGGCTTTGCGTGCCAGCGACGAAGAAAAACAAAAGAAAGGAGATAAAATTTAGCGTCATGAAGTATCTGGCATTCAACGGCAGTCCTCTGAACCCTCAGTCGACGGTGTTGATGCTTGACATCACTTAAGATTAATTTGACTGATTACTTGCAATTATCTGCCTCGTCAGCTCCCAAGGTGAACGAAAAGATTGAAGATATGAAATCAGTCTGCAGAAATATGCTGCTTGAAATATTTTTGCATATTTCTGCATGCAACAAAATATTTAAAGTGTTGCAGTTTGTATGCATATCTTTGATGCATTTGAAATCCAGATATTTTCAGAACGTCAGCCTCCCTTGGAAAGCGAGTATAATGTTTATCCATTACGGTAAGAATATAGAAGATAGTTGCAAATCAAAATCATTCATGCATAGGGCTCTAAGAATTCTTCATGCACTTACGTCTGGTTATAGCTTACAGTGTCCTGTTTACTCTGAGTTGCGAATAAATCTGACCACAAAGGTTCTCGACCAGACGGTTTCTTCGCGCCCTCCAGGTCATGAATATTTTACTCCTTGCTATTGCAGAGATGCACTCTTTTTGCACCGGTTGGTTTATGTGTGACATATGTTTGGACCAGTATTGGGATGGTTAGTGTTAAGAATTCAGACTTTCAATTCAACGTGAGTATTTTGATTCTGATTAATTGCGTTATTTCGCAATGGCAATAATATTCATAACAATGTTAATATTTACAGTGCTGAAGCTGGTGATCATGACAGGGCCGATCCTCAGACAAAGCTAGATATTTTCAGTACAATAATACTTTGCTCTGGATCGCATTAGAATTTACTTAGAAAACAACCCCCAAAACCTTCACGGACATGCATATCCTAAATGCATATACTTCCACTATAATTTGAAAAAAAAAATCATAATGCAACTGCAATACTTCTACAACAATTATTAAAAATACCGGTAATGCAGCTGCAACATCGATCACAACTACAACAAATACCTATACATTCATGATAGTGAATTAGAGAGCACAGCGAGCCTTAC